ATGCTCTGGGGAGCCCCAAAGCTATCCTAGCTCCTCCCAATCGGGGGGAAGAGCCAAGGGGCTCGGCTTGGGAGGAATTCAACTGTCCTCACACCCATGGAGACCAAAATGGCTTCCTTTAGAAACAAATATTTATTTAGAGATAAATAAGGGATGTGATTTCGTGGACCCTGGGGATGTAACAACCAAAGGTAAATGATGCCGTCGCACCGAGTCACACAGGAGTCAGCAGGGCTGCACAGGAGGCACAGACACTCAAGGATGTGAGCAGAACCTGCAGCACATTCGCTGAGAACACTGAGCCAAACCCTAGGCTGGGGGGAAAGAAAGGCGCCACTTCACAGACTTGCCACCTGATTAGAAAGCCGACGAGAGAGGGGAGAATAGGGAAACACCCATCTGATCTACGAGAACAAAATTTCCAGAAGGCAGTGGGGATAGAAACGATGCCCAGCCAGATGGTGAGGCCTCTGCATCTCCCCGGTCTGGATCCAGTTGGCTGGGAGGGGCCCTTATCTTCCGGAGCCACAGGTGCCACCCCCAAGTGGCTGGCGGCTGATGTGAGGAGGACATTATAAGGGTGGCAGGAAGGGAGAATATTTTTTAGCCTTCAAATATATTCCAGCTTCGGGGAATTGTTCCTCCAGGTAAATGTGTATAGGGGGGAGGAAGTGTCCTATGAGGGCATGGCCCCAAACTCCAGACACAGATTGGGAAGGCTTCGTGGAGAAAGGGCTCAATGTGGCCCAGGAAAAGGCAGGGCAGAGGTAGGGATGTCCGCTGAGCCCCAGTCAGGGGGAATAAGGAATGAGGACAGGAGCAGTGGGAGCAGGGCCCTGGGCTTACTGATTCTAGATCCACCGACAATGACCACCAGAACCGATGCCACACTACTCTTGATAGCCACATGCGCCACTCCCAGCCCTAACTCCAAATCTGGAAAACCATGCCAGCAGCAGACTATTTTGGGAACAGGTCAGATTGGTGGAGCTGGGGAGATAAGAGGTATCCATGGTGAGGGTGTGGCTGCAGAGTTACTGGAGGGAAAAGTCGGGTTACTGAAGTTGGAGGCAAGAAAGGAAAAGAAGGTGAAGCCAGAAAAGTCCCGGGCTTCTGTTCTGGAAGATCTCTGAAAATGTAGGGGAGCTTGGAACAAAATGCTAAATGGAACTTTCAAAGATGAGTCACTTGCGATTCTGCAGGCAGGGTGGGAGGGCTCACCTCCCTAGGGGTTTGCATCAGGACATCTGCAAGCGGAGGGGGCACTGCAAGTTGAAATAGCTCCCTCAGTGCACCAGTTATTCACCCAAACAGAAGCTACAAAAAGGAAAGCTTAACAGCTCCTTGGAGTTGAAAGGCTACCCGGATACAAAGTGCACATGGCAGGAGAGAGGCATTAGCCTTAAAGATAGGTGAAGAGCACCAAAGCATTTATTCAACATGCATTTCCGTCATGCCAGGCCTTCATGATGAACAGAGGAACGTGATCTGGGCCAGGCCTGGAACTGGCCGTGCCAGGAGTTGCAGCTGTATAATCACAATGATAGCGTGCTCTCCAGCCTTCCCGGTCAGACAGAATCAAAGCAGGACTTCTGGGGAATGGAGTCATCAACGTGAGTGTTGCTTCAGACTACCCCCAGCATCCCACCAACAATGTTATGCAGTCAGTCACTCAACATTTGGTGCAGAAACACCTTCACTGTCCTGAAAATGACTAAGTAACAGTCAGGCGTTAATTGAAAGTTGTCCCTTAAATGGACTGAGGGACACTGGGTAGACTGAATTTAAAGGCGCTAAATATTCCCCAAGGCCACAGAGCCCACAAAGCAATGCACCCCCACCTGAGCCAGTCTCCACTACTCTGCCGATACCACCAGTGAAACTGTTGAAGAACTAGCACTTCAAAATCCAAAGTACTGAAGAATTCTCTACAGGGCAGCCAGTCCCCCAGGGCATCGTAAGATTTCTTTGTCTCAGATTGAATACATATCTTTAGTCTATTTCCCACTTTTCATATATTATGAGCCAATGAGTAAGGAGAATGAATTATTCTATTACTCTTTACTAACGAAGATGTAAGAATTTATAAAGAAGGCACTACTTATGAAACAATTTTAAGAAGAACAGTTGACTGCTGCCTTGGTCATTTGGGCCTCTGTTACTCATCTGTAAAATAGGAATAATAATGATAATATTTGTCTCACATGTTGACGCAAAGATAAAATAAGATATGTCTGTACTGAGTCTAGTCCAGACCTCAGAACATACTTGATACCCAATTAATATGAGATAATTCTGCTATTAAGTCTAACATTTGTTATTACCATAAATAAATACTACTAGTTGAACATAAATTTGCCTTGGTGTTGCCAGATGTAGGTGTAAATTCTCTGGTTCCTAATGACTAAATCCTAGCCTGCTATACTTAGAACAGCTTTGTTCTGGACACACATTGTAATGACTATCCTTAGGAAAACTTGCTTCTTTCTCAGGACCTGGTATGAGGACATAATTTGTTTCCAAAAGCAAGCTAAGCCAGTTTCCCGGCTATGGCTTTTACCTGTGACCCAGTGTTGCTCTGAGCCAACTTCGGGGCTGGCCTTGGTGCCCAGTAAGTCCCCTGAGGGCAGAATGTTCGGTCAGGTGCCCTGGGCAGGCGCAGGGAGCGGGGTTGACCAGAAAACCAACCCAAACTTGTGCCAGTTAAGGAAGGCAGGCCCACACCCCTCTCTGTAAGATAGCCCGTGGGGTCTTCTGAGGTCCCAGGGGCCGCTGTGAGAAAGATTTTTTTTAAAGGAGCAAAGTGAACAAGTGGAGAGACAGCGGTGTTTGCCTGGTTGTCCCCGCGCAGGGTAGAGTAGGGAGGTCCCTGAGCTGAACTGGGGGGAAAGGCCTGAAGGAGGGTCCCTGGAGGAGACAGGCTGCAGCCAGTGGTGGCCTATGATCCTCTCCCCGACCGTAAAAGCAGCAGGCAGCAATGTTGAAATGCAACAGCAGAGATGTCCCAGGCCATGCAAGAGGGCAACCTACCCAGCAGCCGCTCTCAGTGATTAAGATACAGAGATGCTTTATACCAGTTTTCATAACCCTCTGCCCCGAGGCCCCCACTGCCTCCCCACCACTCTAGCTGCCATGAACCCTCCTCCAGTGCTGCCTCGCCTTCCCCACGATGCAGCAAGCACAGGGTTAACATGTGTCATCGAAGGGGGTCTGAGCTGGTTGTGAATGTTGTAAAGATCCCTGACAGAGGGGGACTCTCAACCCCAAATAGGAGTTTATTGATCTGCACCATCTCCAGCAGGTAGAGGCAGAGCTCCTAGGGGAGTGGGCTACAGGTGGGCTTTGGAGCTGAGGTCAGGCCACCTGGGTTAAAGATGCTGCCTCTGTGGCCTTGGCGTTCACCTGACCTCCCAGCCACTATTCTCTTCCAAAACCCAGGGCCCGCTTGCCTCAACCATCCACCCCATCCTTTATTTCCATCCACATCTGCTAAGATGCAAACACTGACTTCCAAGTGACAGCTCTGATTAAACTCCTGGGTTGCCGTCTCTGACCAGAGCAAAGGCGAAACAGCAGAGAGCTCCCCACAATGCAGCACCAGCCTGGGGACTGTGAAACACCGAAGCCAGCCTTTCCCGACCCGCTCACCCACACCCTGCCCCCATTTGAGGACTGTGACCTGCTCACCCACACCCTGCCCCCATTTGAGGACTGAGACCTGCTCACCCACACCCTGCCCCCATTGGAGGACTGCAGGCCCTCTTTCTTTCACTGACCTCAAACTAGGACAACCCCCCACTTCAACAGAGAAAGCCCCCAAAGTCTGAGATTTGGACATGAAAAACGTCTACTTTCACTTATTTGTCCTCTTTTTTTATATTGAAAAATAACTCGCCATCTACCATTAAGTTGTTAGAAATTCAACCAAGAATATGTAATTCTACAGCCAGTTAAGTCAGAGTGGAGAATAAGTCAGAATAGAGCACAAAGATAATGCTTGACAACCCTCCCTCCATCTGACAGGTATGCGTGTACAGACACACACGCACACTCTCCTCTGGGGGGAATCTTTAAGAAAGACCTTGCCAGAGCTGTTAGGAACTATTAACAGCCTACTACGATCGCTACTTTGTACAGTTGCTTTGAAGCTACGGGGTTAAGCTAGATCTTTAAAAAGTCCGTCTCTCGGGTTTTTTAATGTCAGCTACCTGTTACAGATACACCTGTTAAAGATATCGGAGACACTGTATAGCTGTGCTAGGGTTAGGTGATTACTGAAACCCAAAGGGAGACATACTCACACCACACCATGTCTCCTAGGAGACAAGAGGCCTAGGAGGAAGCAGGTAAAATGTCCATGGATCAGAAACTATTCACTCGACACTAGGCCAATTGGTGCCCACAGATAATTTCTTTCCCTGCACAACACAGACAAGCAGGGTTGTCCCTGTTTCATACAAGAGAAGAGCAGCAGGAGACCAGCTGTCATATTATGTACAGTCGCAAGTCCTGTTTCTCGTAGCAAGACAGTCCTGGGTGGGAAAATATAAAAGCAACTGAGCTGGCAAGAAATCAGAGGAAATACCCTGAACCCTTCCTTCCAAGTAAAGATCTGACACCTTCTAAGGCTCATAACCAAACAGGAAAAGAGAACAAAGGTTACTAAATATAAATACAATTTTGATTTTCTTATCTGATGAGGTGGTTTTCTGTAAGTGTTGGGCTTGATGTTACAGACATGCCTGTACCACAGGAAAGCAACTCCAGTACAAAAACGAAAGTCATGTGGAATTTTTGAAAACCGCCATACGGTAGACTCCCTAGCCTCGTTGTCATAATGAACATAAGGTATAAAGCTCAACCTTGCCAGCATGGCTGAGCCTAATGTTCAAGGGGCAGGTGAAGCAGATGAGGGAGCGAGTGGCCCCACAGGTGACACCACATGAAGCGCGAGGAGAGAGGCAGGTATGAAGGTATCTGGGCAGCAGGGGAAGACTTACTTGGGAGACCCGGCGGGTTTCCAGTACCTGCAGAACAGGTACTGTCCATCAGCGTTGACCAAATGAGGGAGGTCCTGGTACGGAACGTTTTGCGGGGTCCGCCTGGGAGAACTTTCCTCCGGCATTCTGAAAGGATCTCCAAGTCCTTGGAAGAAAGGAGGACACATCCCAAAGTCAGAAACATGGCAAAAGCAGAGAACTAGGGGAGAAAAGCCTTGTCTGTAAAATTTCTTTTTAAAAAGCAGTTTTTAAAAACTCCATTTCAAAGATTTAAAAAAAAAATACATACATCTCTTGCAATCTCTCCAACACTGAAAAGCCCCATTTGTTCTTAAGAAAAGCTGACTTATTTTTTAAGTGCCTCATTACAGCTCCCTCTCCCCCCCCCCACCCCCTCCCTTCCCATCTGTGTTTATTTTAAATCATTTCAGGAAACTTCGTCTTAAAGACTATTTTAGCTATAATCAAGTGGAAATTATAGTTAGCTCTGTGGGAATAAAGACCCAGCTGCAGGAAGACCCAGCCCATTTCAAATTTCCCAGGAAGTTTCAAGGGGGGCACAGTAAGGAGGTGATGGCGCTCCCTTTAATTCCTCCTGCCTGAAATTCCAAAGATGCCGGCTGGACGAACCTGTTTCCATCATGTCCTGGTTTGGGCATTCCACCGCCACCACAGCCTGGAGAATTAGAGCCGGGCAGATGAGGGCCGGGCAGATAAGGGCTGTTCCCTCATCGCCGAGGTCAGAGCGCGGCATCCAGCAGCTGGGGCCCCGTCCGCTCCCCCGCGCCCTGCCCCTAAATCCTGCCTTTCGCCTTTCGGGGTGCTGAGCCCGGCAGCCTGCTTCCAGCTCTCACTGACAAGTTCTCCAAGGCTCCCCTCCCTTCCCAGGGCGGGGAGCAGGAGCCGGCGATCCTCCACTACTAGTTCGTGTCATCACTTTTCCTAAAGAAAGCGCCGAATGGGGCTCGGGGAAGGGAGGGGCTGGGAGCCCAGCACCCACTGCCCGAGAACCTGGGGGACGCTCTGCGCACACCGAGGCGGCTCGCACACGCACGAATGCGGGTCCCCGAGGAAAGTCACCCCGCGGCTCCTGGCAAACTTTGCTTCCTGCCGGCCTCCGACAGCCCAGGGAATGGAGCCCGGCAGCTGTCACGGGAAATGCCACGGGGAAAGCTGGCCACTGCGCCCGCGTCTCGGCGCGGTCGGCGGAGCTGGGAAGATGGAGTTGCTGCGGACAAGTTGGTTCGGGGGCTGGTGCGAGGCGGGGAGGGCGCGCGCCCGCACACACTGACACGCGCGCGCACAGCGGTGCACACACACGCGCGCACAGGAGGGTGCGGGAGCCCACGCCCAGCGGGCCAGGGACCCCGACGCTGTTCCCCACCCTGGTGACGGCACCGGCAGGCTGGGCGGGGACCAGGAGGCAGTTACCGGGGCTCGAGCGCCGCCGTCGCGTTCCCGAGCGCTGCGGGTCCTAGTCTGCCGCGGGCCAGGGTCGGGCGAGCTGGGTGGCTCAGCTCCGGGCGACGGGGTGCGGCGTGTGAGCCGCCACTTTATCCCTGGGCCGCTCGCGGTGGGGGCGGCCCGCGGTGGGTGGGGACGAGGGAGATGACGGGAGGCGCGCGGGGAGGCGGCGCCCAGGGCCCACGTGTGCCTGGCCTGCCTGCCGGGAGGAGCGGGGGCGCATTCGTGGACTCGGCCACGCGCTCCTCGCGCCTGCCTCGTGGGCTTCGGCGCCCCAGGGTAGCCGCGGGGGGGACTGTCACGGGGCCCTGAGCAGAACTAGACTCTCCAGAGGTGAGACGCTGGAGGACACGCCACACCCATGCGGGCATACGCACCAGGCGGACCCACAGGCCCGCACACATAGCGACACACGTACACCACACACACAGATAACACACGTGCAGGTGCACACAGACCCACACACAGAGACCACAAGTATAGGCATAGACAACACACGAACACAGATACACACACTAACGTGCACTGGGACACATATCAAATGCACACAGATGCACCACAGGCATGCATGCACACAGACCTCCCCACAGATAAACAAACGTATACACTGTACACATACAGACACAGAACACACCACACAGAGACACACAGCACATACACACTCAATACTCAGGAAAGACACATGACCTCCGCAGAGACGCACAAACCCACATAGATACACATAGAGGGGAACATGGACCCAGAGAGACAGATAGAAACAACCCACACAGATACACAGAGACACACATAGGCATACACACATGTCATCCACATAAGGGCAGACACACTCATGTCACACACACACACACACACACACACAAAGTCACACACAGACACACAAATAAAAAGCGGGGGGTGGGGGGGTGAAGGGGGTTGGCGGTGCACAAATCCCCAGGAAGTAGGGCAGAGATAGACTAGTGCAGGCCTTCCCCCTCCACCCCCATCCACAGCAACTCTCCCCTGCCCCAGGAGTCAGGCCCCCAAACAAAATCTCCGGTGCATCTACACAGGCCAGGGCAGCCGTGGGCAAACTACGGCCCGTTTGAAATGAATAAAACTAAAAAAAAAAAAGACCGTACCCTTTTATGTAATGATGTTTACTTTGAATTTATATTAGTTCACACAAACACTCCATCCATGCTTTTGTTCCGGCCCTCCGGTCCAGTTTAAGAACCCATTGTGGCCCTCGAGTCAAAAAGTTTGCCCACCCCTGGGCCAGGGGAAGGTCTGAAAGCTGCCCAGGACTGCTGGCAATGTGGGTTGAGAGGGTACACAAAGGAGCACTGGACTTAGGTTGATCTTTTCACCTGAAACTCAGGAGTGACACTACCTGTGTCCCCAAGAAGTGTCACATGTCCCTTGCTCACACTAACCTCAGCAAGCTTTGTATCCTTCCTTCTTTCACAAAAACACTTTACACCATAGCAGTGTTGGAAAGAACTGCTGTCCTTCCGAAACTGCTGTCTCAATATCACACTGTGTGGGGAGGCCCAAGCTTAGAGCCTGCGATCTCACTTAAGAAATGAAGCAATAGCTTTTGAAAAGCAGCCTAGAACATTTCAGGCATTATTTCTTCAAGTACTTTTGTAGCCCCACCATCTTTTTCCTTCTCCCTTTGCACTCTAATGATATGAATATTGGTTCTTTCATTATAGTCCCGTAGGTCCCTGAGGCTTTGTTCAAATTTTTCTCAGTATATTTTCTCTCTGTTGTCCCAATTGTGTAATTTCTACTGTCCTATCTTCCAGTTTACTGATTCTTTCCTCTGTCCCCATCATTCTGCCTTTGAACCCATCCACTGAGCTTTCCATTCAGTTGTTGTATTTTTCAGTTCTAAAGTTTCCATTTGGGTCATCTTTAGCTTTTCTATTCCTTGCCTGAGACTTCCTATTTTTCCTTAGTTTCCAACATGTTCATAATTGCTCATTGAAGCATTTTTATCATGGCTGCTTTAAAATCTCTGTTCTTTCTGTTGGCATCTATTCATTTTTTTTAATTCAATTTTAGATCTCCCTGGTTCTTGGTAAGAGGTGTGATTTTCTGTTGAAATCTGGACATTTTTGTGTTGTGAGACTCCGGATCTTATTTAAACCTTCTGCTTTAGCTGGCCTGTGCTGCTCCAGGCCTGGAGTTGGAGGACAGAATGGAAGGGCTGCCTCATTGCTTCCAGGTGGAGGTAGAAGCCTAGGTCTCCCATTCAACCTATGAGGGTGTGGGCCATATGATGCTGACTAGTGTAGAAAGGGTAATATCTGAAAGCTTTCTGTCTTATTCAGCTTTCCCTCTCCTGGTTCTTTGGTTGCAAAGAGCGGGCTTTTGTTGGGCATTGTCTGTTCTGCCCCCATGGCATTTCTGGGTTGCTGGCTTCTTCAGCTTCAAGTCTGGAATATATGAGGCAAAACAAAACCCAGGGAACTCACCACCACATCATTTCTTGGATCCAAAGGTCTCAGACTGGTCTGCCTTCCCTCTCTCTAACTTTCAGAGTCTCCTTACGTTTGTGTTATATATAATGTCCAGGGCTTTTAGCTGTACTTAGAGTAGTAAGGACAAGCACATCCCCTCTGCCCTTGCAGATACAGAAGTTTGGCTATGTATTCCAGTGGTCCCTGCCGGCCTGGGTATCCATACTGACCTTGGTCCCAGTTCCTCTAGTCAGGATTAATCTAGGTATTGTGATCTGCAATAAAAGTGCTGGTGGGCAGGATCCATCCCTACCACCCAGGATGAAAAGACAGGATGGCAATTCAAGCAAAAGTGGCATCTTTCAGCCCTCCACAAGTGTTCTTGTGTGGCCTTCCAGAGATGCTCTGAGGTTTGAGAATAGATCATGCCCAGGTACTGGTGAGTAAGGTAACCATGAGTTTCTATCAACAATTTTAGCGTTTTTGTGGGAAAGAAGGAGAGCTTGGAAATGGAGATGATATTTAAAGTGAACGACAGAGAAGAAGCAAGATTTTGCACATCAAACTTGGGGGGGAAGAAAATTGAGCCAAAATACCTAAGACTCAAAAATATGCTCCACCAACTAGCTATATAACTTTCCAGAGAGTCACTGTACCTGGCTGACCTGCCTCCTTTCCTGACACAGGGGAATATAAACACACACACCCCTCCCTCCCGGACCTTGGCCAAGATCAGTTGAGAACATGTCTATGGGGCACCCAGCACACCCCTGGGGGACAGTCAGCTCGCACTAAGGGTGGCAGCTTGGTGGCCATGATGTCAAATCTGACCCAAGAAAAAGTACTTTTTGTCTGATAAAATTTTAATGTGAAATTTAAAAATTGGAGATTTTGCATGCACATCCAGATTCCTGGCTTTTTTTTTTGAACTGCAGAGGGATATGGTCATTCGGTGCCATGGTATGGACCGTGTTGAGCTTGAGGTGCCTATGGAGGAGGATGAGTTGGTGGGTCTAGAACCAAAGAGAGAGGTCAGGCTGGAGACAGAGGAGTTGGCCCAGAAATGGTTCTTTCACCCGTGGGAGAGGGTACCCTCACCCTAGGAGAGTGGGCAGGTAGAGGTGTGGCTTGGCCACCTGTGCATTGCATCTGGCCAGCAAAAGGTTTAGCTTGGCCTACAAACGCTTTCAAAATATTTGAATTAGTAGCCAACATTTAAAAATCAGGACATCTCAGGTAACAGTGCTGTTTCTGAATTTCCTCTGAACGGACATTGGCAATGAGGGGCCACCTTTGTGCCTGGCGTTGGTCTGCGTTGTGGCTGGGTGGAGGCTGCCCCCTTCAGGAGGTATCTGCAACTGCTCATCTGCCCACCCCTCTGCTGAGCTCACTCCAGAAAAGCTAATCTTTGTGTTTTCTGGTCTGTTTTACTGGGTTGGAACATGAAGGAAGGAGAGTAGGTTTTAACGGTGGTGGACAGGGTGTAATTCTAGACTTTTTGAGGTCTCTGGGACATCCAACTAGAGACATGGTAGGCCGTAGCATGTGCAATGTGAGACTAAGGATGGAGATGAATGTTGGGAAGTAATTGGTGATTGATGTCATGAGAATGGATTAGATTGCCCAGGACATGTGAACTGGAGGGAGAAATGGCCTATGAGAGATCTTTGTGAGGACAATGAGAAGCAGGAAAAGGAGGGAGGTGAGTTTTCAAAGGTGATAGAGACAGGAGGAGATGTGGAAGGTGTGATTTCACGAATCCAAAGGCACAGCATGTTGTAAGACAAAGGATTAACAAAGTCTAATGCTGTCCAGAAGCCAAACCACAGGACTAAGATGTGTCCAATAGATTTAATAAGAAGGAGGTCATCTGTGACCTTGGGGAGAACCCAGTTCATGGATTAATCAGGGCAGAAGACAACCTGCTCTGAGTTATCAAGTGAATGGAAAATGAGTGGCAACAGCAAATATAGAGACCCCTTCAAGACATTTTCTGTGAAGAGGAGACAGTAGAGCACAGTGGTGAAGTCTATGGATTTTGCAACCAGACAGCCTTCATTCAAGTCCTGGCTCTGCTGACTGTAACTCCACAATCTTGGGCAGTTGATGTGCCCTCTTTATGCCTCTATAGCGCAGGTGAATTACTTAGCTCAGTGCCTGGCACCTGGTAGGTAGGATGCAATAAAGTTTCACCATTATTAAAGTAACGTACACATGTGTTCAAAATTCCAATGAGAGCTAACAAGTTAACAGTGAATTGTGAGTCTCCTTCCTTTTCTGTGCCCTGGTTCCTGTCCACAGAGGGAACCAGCCCTGCGGGTT